ACACACATACACACACACATAACATGCTGCAAGCTTGCCCATGCTGTATTTCATATGCATAACAAGCATATTTCAACATCTCTCACAATCAACACACACATTTCTCTTTCTTTACACTAGATTCACATAATTTGCTGTTACCCTTATAGTAGCATGCTGCATATCAAGTGTGGCACGTGCTGCTCACACACAGATACACACTGAAATTCCAAACAGTCCCCTTCTCCACTTGGTTCCCTCCAGGCAAACCTCTGTGCTAAAATTAAACCTCTGTGATCTAAAAATACCAGTCGGCACGTGAGCCAAAGACAGACTGGAGAAGACAACAAATAGAGGCGAGAGAAAGGAAAGGGTGGTGGTGACAGGGAAAAAAGAAGAAGAGAAGGGGGAAGAAAAGAGAAAATTGGATTTGTTTGCCAGTGTTTTAATCAGACACTGCAGGAAAATATAATTCCAATAACCTTCCCCAAAGACATCCATCAGCCAGCAGAAACATCATGTTGACTGCAGGAATTTTAATTTGAAAGGACTATCTGTTTAGATTTGACTAATTAGGAGACATAAACATGTACAAAGTTAATATATATTCTTCATCTGAGATTATAGAAAACCTTCAGAAAAGCTGAATGTGTGCTTGGTTTTGAATGAGAATGGTCCTTTACAGCGCTGCTGATAAACTGAATGGGTATCAGCATCATTGCAGCTGTTGTGAAAGGCAACTATTCACTCTCAGTTTTGCTTTCAGTGGCTCAGGAGCCCCTCCATCTGGTCAAAGAGAGAAGTGAAGCACTTCACCTCTTCAACATCCCTGACCTCTCAGTAAATCTTGCACTGTGTCCCAGTTCCATACTGCACACTATTTCTAAACTGGTTTAGTCGAGCTGTGTTCACACTGCAAAAGTGAGACAATTGTAGTGAAAACTGTTTGTATGCATTCTAAAAAACTTTGATTTGTGGAAATGTAGTGGTATTCTCAGCTGCAAAAAAGATGTAGATGATGTAGAGACAGCTCCAGAGAGAGAACAAAAACTAAAATATTAAAGGTCCAGTGTGTA